GCCGTGGCGGCAGCGCAGAGCGAGGGAGCGGCCATGCCTTCGCCCTGAGCCAGCATAGCAGGGGCACTGCGCCCGCATCGCTCCGCAAGGCCTCCTTATAGCCATGTTGACAAGGGGGTTGGATTTGTAACGTCATTAATTAAAATCTTTTATTAGAAAGTTTTAGCATGTCAATGAAAACTCTCCCACCAAGAGGCACGAGGAGTTAATTGTTTATTTGTTTGCAAGTAATTAGCAACTAATGGTGACACTAGGGGGGCCACCAAGGGGGACAAAAAGTGTTATCTCTCCTAACCAGAGCATCGACTTCACTTTCTCAAAAGAAGCTGTGCACAAATATAGTACTTCTCTTTTATTTGAAATCATTAATGTATAAAATCAGTTTTTTAAAAAACTTTATACTCTAATGGACTCCACTTACCTAAACATGGAAGCGTGATAGGAAACCAGTCAAGTAATAAGTAATCTCATTTAAGTGAATTTCCTTCCAAGGAAATTTAAAAAATAATCTCTTAATGCTATTAGGGTAATCCCGATGAAAATGCCTCTGTTTTTTCATATGCATATGTAATGGTGAACGTGGTCAACAAAACAACAATAGCTTTTGGCATAAGGCACTGTGCAGTGGGTTGGCAGTGTTGTCAAAGCTCAGTGTAATTGCCTTCCAAGTGCCTGGATTAGTTAATAGGAACAGTTGCACCAACTATTTTAAATAATTCATGCATTCATTTTTCTTATTAAAATAACTTTGTTGCAGCCTTTTTGAAACGTACCAGATGTGAAATTTCCTGATAATTCTTCACTACATAAAACTAAACTTCACGTAATAGAAGCAGTACACTGAAATTTGCAGGTTTAAAAGATGCAGAGGTGTTCTTCAATTCATTACTATTACATTTGTTGCAGTCAAATTTGTAGCTCAAGTAAAACTTTTTCTCACAAATGTCTCTCCCTCCTTGTAGGTTTATAGCAAACACAAGTATGTTTAAATCCTACAGAGCCAACACTTAAAATCACACAAAAAAGTTATGAGTAATGGGAAGAAAGGAGATAAAGGCTTTGTAATAAAGACTGACAGAATTCTGATTTCATCCATTATAATAAAATACAGACTATAACATTTTTATATTCAAGCTCATCGGTCAGTCACACAGCAGTTTACAGCACATGCTCAAAAACAGCTTTTGGTTCAGGCAAAGAAAAGGAGGAATTTCTGTAGAGACACTATAAAATCAAGATTTGTCCAAAAAAAACAGGCAAACATGAACACAATACTTTTATTTCAGGTGGAAAAGTTTCCCTTCCTTCTGGCCTGGCTTTGTGCTGTGCAGTAAGATTGCTGTCAAACCAAACTATTAAAAGAGTGCCACTTGCAGAAGTGACCTCACCAAGGACACTTCTCACACATGTCAAGGGATCTTCGGGCAGCAGGCATCCACCTGCAGTGCTCACTTGCAAGATGAGCTCCAGTCACCGTTCATGGACCTTAAGCCCTCCCTTGAAAGCTGAATGTCTTGTTTTGGCCCATCAGTACTGAGCAATGCTACCTTGCAACCCATTTGAAATTACCTATGGACTTTTAACTGAATACCTTGGTAGGGGTAATTAGAGCAACACAGCAAACATTAAGTTGGGAATCCTAAGTAACCAATAATAGGAAAGGTCACTGCTCCTTGGATATGCAAATCCAATCCTCTTACAGCATCACATACTTGATGAGGCAGGAAACAAATCACCCTTTCAGACTTTGCACCACTGGTTTTTGCCCAGGGACAGTGGAGTTCATCTCTTTAGCAGATGGATTCTGTTCTGGCTGTTTGCAGCAGCTGAGGAGCCCAACCCAGAGCTCTTGGGGGCTTTGGTGTGAAGGCCCAGCTCTTACCCTGGCTGCCCTTTGCCCTCCTCACCCACTGCTGGCTCACCTTGCACTGGAGCCTGGGCAACAGTTCCAGCTTTTAAAAGGGTATAAATGATACATATATATTATCTTTCTTCATTACTTACCACACTCCAAACATTTGCCTTTCCCACAACCTCTTTACCCAGTATCTCACCATCTCAGAAGTCATGCTGCACAAAGCTCTCTTTCCAATATGTTTTTAACAGGAATAACAAGTATTATGTTCAAAGCCAAGTTCAGAATTCCCAAGTTTTTTAAAAGCAAGAATACTCTAAAATGGTAACACCAATTTTCACAAAACAAAAGCAGTCAGCTATTTCCTGTTTGAAGTAAAAGCTATTTTGGCACAGGGAGATTAAGTGAGTGCAGGTAAATTCCAGGTTAATCCAAGGTTGCCATAAGAAAATTATGAGAAACAGTGTGTTAAAAAGTGGGAAACACTGCAAATAAAGCCCACCTTACCCACACAGCTACTTTCACCCTCCAGCAGGGGCAGAATGCTCTCTCCATAAGGGCACACATCTGGAACCCTCTGAAGATGTGTTCACTGCTCTTCTCTCCGGTGACAAAGTGCCAAGTCTTAGTTCCCCACATTTTTAAGGTTTCTTAGCAGATATTTTGCAGAAAAAACAACAACAACAAAACATAACAAACAGAAATCAACAATCCCTCCCCAAAAAACCCCAAACCAAACAAAAAACCCCAAACCAAACAAAAAACCCCAAACCAAACAAAAAGCCCAACCTCACAAATCAAAAAGCCCAAACAACAACAAAAACCCCTTACACAAGGTCTACAGTGCTGAAAACAGTGTAACACCAAAACCACAATTAGAGGATGCAGAGGGATTCTTCATTACTATTACATTTGTTGCAGTCAAATTTGTAGCTCAAGTAAAACTTTTGGATGCCACTTACAGCTGTAAACACACAAAGCTAACTAAACCCAATCCACTTAAAGTGACCACCTTCCTGAATTCCACAGGAAAATGATCTTACAGCACAAAACAAAGTCATTTCTTATTGCTGTAAAAACTGCTGTAAAGCTTGGTCACAAGTTCACTGTCTCAAAACCACAAAGCACATACATTTATTGGTCATGAACCAGTGTTAATGTCCTGTCACATGGCTGCAGATACAAGACTTAGTCTTTAAACACCTTGTAAGATAACCCTGAATTATTGTCCTTATTGACAGGGAAAGGGAGAGGTGCTGTGACTTGCTTCAGTCAGGTGAGTCACCAGCTGAGCTCGCAAATTAATTGACTGAACAGTATTAACTTGGAAATTTTTCTTCACCACTCCCTACAGGAAAAAACAAAACAACACAACAGCAAAAACAAAAACAAAAACCACCCATCAAAAAACCCAAACCAACAAACAAAAGAAAAGCCATCTCCAAAATCTTAAATTGTTTACAATTTAACACATCAGTCCTGTCCTTTATCTGCTTTTAATGGTAAATCATAACCTGATACAACATAAAGAATGGTCTCATAGCAAGACTGCACAATCATTAATCATTTGCTCTGCTGAACGACTTCATGTACTTTCTAATCTGGTCTTGGACTAGGTTCACCTGGTCCCAAAAAGGCAAAACCAACAAGGGAGTAAGTTTTGGTTTTGTTTTTCCCCAGCTAAAAACTATCATCAAGTCTACTAAGATTAAACTACCTGACAGGAGGTTGTAGCCAGGTGGGGTCAGTCTCTTCTCCCAGGTAACAAGTGACAGGACCAGAGGGAACAGCCTCAAGTTGTGCCAGGAGATGTTTAGGTTGGATATTGGGAAAAGTGTCTCCATGGGCAGGGTGGCCCTGACAATCACCATCCCTGAAGTGTTCGCATGTGAGGATGTGGCACTCACACCAGTTCACCACTGGTTTAGTGGTGAACCCGGGCTCCTGGATTAATGGCTGGATCTATGATCTTCGAGGTCTTTTCCAACCTTAGGGATTCTACAATTCTAAGTAATTTCAGAGCTGAACCGATCAGTCACAAGTCCACCCAATGATCTGTTTTGATTTCAGTGAGCCCTCACAGTAGTTTTAAGCATTTAAAATTTGCCACCAGCCTATGGCACCACAATTATTCAGACCAAGAGAGCAGAGATACTATTTTTTAATATCTAATCAGAATCTCTCCTGTCTCAGCTTAAGGCCTCTTGTCGTCTCACTGCAAACACAGTAGAAGTGACTGGCCTCCACCTGGGGCCCACTCACATGGCAGGGATAAGAGGAGACTTGCCAAAAGAGATGCTCCAGAAAAGAGTGCCAAAGATGCTCCAGATAACATGGCAAGAGTGCCAAAGCTGCTCCAGACCCAACAGCGCTCCCTCGCTGCTCAGCGGCCCTCAAGGTAATTGTCTGTGAGAAGACCACAACAACGACCGGAGCACAAACAGGGCTGGGAGGACACTTTGCTAGACAGCCGTGACTCGCATTGCCGAGCAGCCACCACAGCGGGGACAC